AAGAAATAATAGTGAGCGACACATACATACGAGTACAGTACATGTGGTATGTGTGTTGCTCGCTATTAATTTTAATTAGACTTACAAACTTGGTTTCAGTGATGTCATATTGTTCTTTAATTTAGCCGGAATGGCAAGCTGCTTTCGATCATTTGTACACGTGCCATTTAATTTGTGTACTACACAAATCTTTCCACGAAACAGACAGTTTTAAGTGCAAAAGGTGCGAAAGTGCAGAATCACTCCAGCATCCCCTTAATTTCCTCCAGACACACCTCACGGAGCATTCGTAACTAGAAACCTTGTAATCGGAGACCGGCCGTAAGAGAGTTCGTCAAATTTCCGCGAGTGAGAGAGAAACATAAGCTATCTCACTCGTCTACGACTGTACGATTTCTCTCTCACTCGCGGAAATTTGACGAACTCTCTCATGGCCAGTCTCCGATTACAAAGTCTCTGTTCGTAACCGATCGTTCTACGGCAAACCGTAGTCCCGAGAGTACCTGAGAATCCATCGAGCGCGCTGTTGCCGATCGCCGTTGTGTAATAGGATGAATTCAATTCGAACGCGACGGTAGACATTGTCGTCAACATCTTTTTCAAGCGCGGGACCAAAACGCACCGTTTTCCGTCGCTCCTTTCCCCGGGGGTTTCCCTCACTTTTCACACTGTTTCGTAAATCCCCTCGCGATCGCGTATCCCCGCGCACTCGAGATACGTTCGCGCTGTCGCGTATCTTCACTTCAGGCGAGGGAGAGATTCGTATTTTCAGGCCCTACGTAGATGCACCGCCACGTCCACCCCGTACGTTTTTCCGGCGGGGAAATTTCAGTTTTACGTCGGCAGCACCTTCCGCCGCGCCGCGACAACTGTTGACGCTGGAGTTTCGACGGCGGATCGCCGTGTGTCGAAATGAGACCCGAGAAAATCCATCAGGAGTCGCAGGTGCGCGACGGCGCCGCGGCATTCCGCGGCGCGAATCCAGCTTACCGTTTTTGCCCGGTTTAAGATAACCGGCGCTTTCGCCGGGTCGGAAACGTTAAGTGACATCATCGAGTCTCTCGTCGCGGTACATTCACCGTTAATTATCTCGGTACCGCGCGCCGCGGAGAACCCCCGGCGAGATCGCGAGAAATTGCTCGCCCCGCGACACGTACTGATTGGCTTCTTCACTTAAAGCGGTACTCCAGTTAACGCTTCGATCGAGTCGCTCAGACGGCGGGAATGTTAATTTGCGGAAAGCCCCGGACGAATGTTTGTCTTCTGTAACTGCCAAGAGAATTCGCGCCCCGAGGAATCGTGGGTTACGTCCTAGCACGACCGATTAACATTATTAACTTTCTCACACTTCGGTTGTAGCAACTTGTTTGACAGAATTGCTCGTTTGCCAGACCGAATGAACGGTCACGTTCGTTAAATAAAGCGGTGTAATCCGCGGATACGCTTCCGCTCTACAACTTTTTTTTTATCGGACTGAATTTAATAAAAACACATTAATCCGTTTGATAAACTAATATTACGTTGAACAGAAAAACCGTGCAAAATAAATGGATTTAAACGTAGGAGTAAAACGCGATTGTGGGCGCGTGATTTATCAAATGGACAAAAATTTACTCCCCGATAAAAGATAATACACGTTTCTCGATGTTAAATTTACTTTATTCCTATCGCTCGCGTGGTGAGAATCTCGCGATGAAATTCCACTTCCAATTCCGTGCAATTTTTCACAATAAATTGCCTAGCAATTGGCCAACCGGTGATAAGGAATGCGTCTACGGCAATGCCTGTAGCGTCTCTTGAGGATCGCGGGACAAGAATCATCGGGAATTTCGAGTATGCTCGAAATATTTGCCGTCCAATCTCAAATGCGCCGCGTGTTCCGATATCAGTATAAATGTACCCATAATCGCCCGAGCATCCCGCGTATCCATATTCGAGACTGTGTGTCATTGATCAACACGCGCGATTAAATTCGCCGCAGCTCGACTCTGCATTCCGCGCGCGACTCCTTTCATTTGGCAAAATTCGTCCTACGTCATTTCACAAAAATTCTCTCGGCCACGGCGATATCGCGGCGCGGACTTGCGCAAGTCAACTTTGTTTGTAATTAGCGTAAGACAACCCGTTCGACGATCTCTCGGGAGAGACTTCGGCTTAATGAAATGTCGGCCAACCGGTGGGATTTCAATGGTTCAATCGGGCATTTCTTCGCTCGTTCTTCTTTTTTTTCCTCACGGAAACGAAAAACGAAATTTCCCGATCGCGATTAATTCAATTCTAACGAGAGGCAAATTCAATCTGCCACCGTGATCCACCGTCCGGTCATTTTCTTTCACCGAGAGGCGAAAGAGAGCAGCGTTTTAATCAGATCGCACGCGTCCTCGCCATCGCTGACACTTTCAAGTAGCTGAGCACGATTGATTTCATTTTAGTCGCCCGATAATTTGCACATCGCGGCAGATTTGCTAAACTAAACCGACGATCGGGGAAATTCACTCGGACCAACGATCCACGCTGTCGAACGTCTCGATTCGTCGTTCCCGTCGGATTGCCCTCACAGGCGGTTCGAAATACGTTCCCCGCTGGCGCACAACCCCACGACGTCCTCGGCAACGCGCACTGACAACTGGCCGGAGCCTCGACGGCGTTGCGGCCACGTGACGCGTCCGCTTCCTGTCATCGGCAGGCACGGCCGGGCTACACGCGCCCAGAAGGAACCCGAACCGTGCAAATAGTGCCGGTAAACTGAATGGAACACGGAACTCGACCGGCCGCAAACTCTCGAACGCGCCTCCCTTTCGTCGGGAGCATGCGCGCTCTTTCCCCCTTTATAGTATTTTTTTCACCGCGCGTGGGCCCGCGGTAATTAATTAATTACCATTCTCTCTCTCCCTCTCTCTCTCTCTCTCTACAATATATAACTGATGCAATACAACTGAACTTGCTTTAATCTCTTTATGTAACATTTTATTAATATTTTAATAGCAATTTTTGTACGTTTCAACAGTTTTACCTTAAAACAATTTGTGTGCCATTTTATTATAAAGTTTACCTCGTTGCATTTCATTATATACAGTTTGATTTTAATATTAACCTTTACCAGGTTACGAGAGTCGGTCACAAACGTGGGCCGTTTAAAATTAAAAGTCACAATAATGTTTGATTGAAAAAAATTGGCTCGTATTAATTATTTAACGGATCACATTTGTTATTTTATACGCGAGGAAAATGCTGTTGAATTAAAAGAATCAAGTTGCTTGACTTAAACGTTGACGTCACGGGCTGCCACAAACGCAAATAATTCACGCGATTGTATTTGCTGTTGATCTTAATTTTAGGCATCGAATAAATATCCATATTATTAAGACAACTATCCGATGTTTCTCATTCATTAATACCGATGTTGTTTCAACCAATTTATTTCAATTACGCCGATACTGTTGAGACGCCATTTTTTTCCCGTGTATTAGACGCGAGTCACTTTAACAAATTTGAATCAAGCAAATCAAGTTTTTCTGCTTTTAAACATCAGCGAATTAATTACTTTAAATAGTTAGGACGACAGTTTATTATTATTTGCTGTTTGTTTATTATATGCGTTTCGTATTCTTATAAAAGGCAAGAGAACATCGCACTGGCACGCATCACCGATAAGAGAAAGGAGCGCGTATCTCGTTTTACTTGCGATAAATGCAGAGTGCATTACGTAACTTCTGCGAATATACAATGCGGGAGTTGTGGGTGCGACATATGATTTTCATAATTTAATTCGCAATCATTGGTGTTCAGCGATACATTAATAGAATCGTCATTAACGCAATGTCTACAAGCGTACCCTTTAAAACGTCGATCTTGAGTTTTAACGTACTTCAATTATGTCTTTGGATGCTAAAAATGCAATTGATTATAATTTCCTCGTACAGTCATACTGTACCTCCGCTTCTTTTTCTGCCGACCTCTCGCATTATACCTTTTACGATATAGGTTAATAACGGTTGTGGTAAAGTATGAAAGAAGCGGCAGTAAACACGATTCCCTATTAGGAAACCAAGTACATTCCATTTAAATCTCTCACTGTCAATCCTCTCGGTTTTGTATTGTAGTCGATTTGGGACAGTCTCGCGCTCCGCGCTTTGAAGCGAGGCGCGATGAAGCGAGGCACGCATTAAAGACAATTTATTTTAACGCTGAAACAAATTGCCGGCGCACACGTCGCAATTCTTGTATTTCTTGAATTTGTTCTAGCAACGCACGGGCGACGCGTCGCCGCGACGTCGCGACGATTGCGATCTACGATACGACGATGCATATAATGCACTATTAAATTTTTACACGTAAAGTATCGCGAGAAAATATTTGATTTTCGAAATTAAATCTATTTCAGCAATTTTGTCATAAAATTAAAAGTAATTTGTTGAAATTATTATCTAAAAATGTTTTAAATACGTGAAAAAACTCGCGAAAGAAGTAAAAATAATGAAACAAGTTTCGGAATATTTTCAATATATTTATATAATTTAATAAAAACACTAAATACGTGTAGCAAAGTACAAAATTATATAAAGAAATTCTTGTTGCATTAAATTTTAGAAATTCTATTGTTTTACACTCCGCGATAATGGAATTAATTATTTTTCCAATACATATTTAAATGTAATTAAAAGTAAACTATAATTTCTCCTACATATTTTCATAAACGCTTTTAATTAAAAGAGTCATGAAATTACAGCCTTCAACGCTTCGGTAATTACGTATCTTCGTTTAAATATAACACTTTGATCTTGACAACATCAATTAATGAGGGTTGCATTTTTTAATTATATATTGCTGAAAAACTTTTAGTTAAAAATAACTTTCTAATATGATACGAATCGTTAAATGGATGTTGAGGGTTTAATTAATATTTATGATGTTATTAAAAAAGTTGTAAAACTACACAAACTTATTACATACTTGTGTAAAAATCTGTTGTTATCTATATAAAAGTATCTATATAAAAATCTATATAAAAGTATATCTATATAAAAAAATCTATATAAAAGTAAGATGTTATCTAACATCTTATTTTTAATATTTCTAATAGTACAATTATCTAATCTATTTATATTTATAGTCGTGTTTGCGTAAGTTACATTTTATGCATATATTATCTCGTAATCGTATCCATTAAATTTATATGCAGTAGTAATCGCATAATAGCTGCACGGTTGGCTCGTTTAGCTACGCATAAGTTTACCTAGTGCCCAAATTGACTGAATCAGGTGTCTTGTCAGCCATTTGCATTTACGTGCATCGACGCCACATTCAATCTGCTCGGTTCGTACAAATAGAAATCCAGCTTTTCCCCCCGAATAGACACGGGTGTAGATCAATGTCGTCGGAATTCGTGGCAGTTAACTGAAATTTTAGCGACACACAGATTCAAATCGAGCGTTGGAAGCGAAGCGTTGCACGCTGTCGATGCAGCAGCTATAAAGTTACCGTTACACTGTTGATGTACAACGGATATTCCTTATCGCTCGAAAATTTCTGACGTAGACGTTGACTGATCTATTTTCTTTAAAACTTTAACTCGGCTTCTTTGCAGATTCTATCAATTCGGTGCAATCGTGTCATCTCGTTTAGTCAACGTAAATAACGAAACTTGATTAAAGTTTATACACACAGGCACATAAATTTCACGAAAATCTTTTAGTTTTTAAGTAAGAAAAATAAATATACAATTCTAATATGCAGAATACAAAAGGCTTCTTCGATTTCTAACTCTTTCTATTTCTCGACTTCCTACACTTGATTGATATGAGTTTGCAAAACTGGTTTCTCTTCTTGAAACATGGGAGAAATATTTTTCGGTTTCATCGGGAATTACCGAAATGTTATTGCAAATTGATATTTTATATCGCGCCTTACAACAATTTTTATGTTAGACTTTTACTGTGAAACGTCTTCGTTGATAACGTGTCCTAACCACGAAGAGAAATCTAATCAGCGTCGTAGCATCGTGTATCGTAAGCTGTCACGTCAACGCTAGCAGATTTTATTTATCGATACGTCAATACGGAAAGGCGTCAATGGCGCACTTAAACTAGGTCGCGTAATCAACGGCGCCAAATTCATACGAGAAATTCTCCGATATTTTACCAGCAATTTACGAATTCCCATGGGTCTCTGCCGCGTGACACACGTGAGTTTCATCGTTCGATAAGCCACCGCGTTTCCTAAATAGCTCTGTACGATTGTTTCGAGCGTCATAGACGGCCTGAAAAACGGCCCTCGCGATAGAGGCTGGCACAATTTGGCAATGCACTGATAATAAATTTGACTCGTTACTCATGCATTCTTTTTCGAATATTCACCCCATTTATCTAATCATCCATCCTGGCTATAAAAAAAAACACCCGAAACATCGCCTAATTTTTCATATCGATTCTTTAATAATTTTCATAAAACTATACAATTACATGAAATAGACAAAAACTTTGTTGATAAAAAGTTGACTTTTAGTTTTAATATTTCTTTGAAAAATCACTTAAATCACTAAACTTTTAGAAATTTTTCTAGAAAACTTTTTTTCTTAAAATATCTGTAAAGCTGAATCAAAAGTTTCCCTGCATTTAGAATATCATTGAAGATATTCGATACTGCGGCATCGACAATCAAAAATTTCTACGCATCGATGTCGAGATATTAAGTTAAAAACGGCTGAACCGAAACATTGTCTACTTTCACTTCTGTGATATTAAAGGGATATTAATTTTAATGCGAAAAAATGTTTGGTATTATGTTCTTCAGATAAAAATTTATATTCATCATTACACGACAATTATGTTTCCTTTCCTTACGCATTTGTATTTTTCAAATTATTTCGCGTACAGTAAAGATCGGACGCAATACACAAGCGAATACATAGCGTTTGTTTCTTAACTTCTGATCCATCATTATATTAATTTCGACCCAAAAAAATTAGATGCGACTTTTTCATCGCACGTGGCGCATTTCTCTCAATATTGGGCTGTCAATTTCCGGCTTTATCCATTACTTAGTGGAAGTACACTTGAAGTGTGCTCGACCCACATATGTATATTTGTATATTGTTGACGTACTTATAATCAGTGAATATCTGTGCTTGATTGATGTTAAAAACGTGGTCATATATGACAACATTTCAATCAAGGCCGTCTATCACTGCGTTTCGCGTCGTGATTGC